TCCAAGTCATTTTGTCGTTTGGGAAAAAAATGGTTCGACTGGTATTATATAAAATTATAAAAGAGGGAGGCTCCATGGAAAATTAATATGTTTTTTTTGTCAACCAATGAAAACTGTTTTTGAATATACATGATACATTGTTTAACAGAAAAAGAAGTTACAAGTTGATCCTTTTGCCAAATTTCTTTTTATAAAGGGTAAAAGTTGATATTTTATCCTTTATAATAAGAATGGCTCTATAATATATTTGTGTTATTTGAGATATGTAGAATCATTGTTGTTTTGTTTGAAAATATATGTATTTGAATTGTGACAATCATGCTAAAAAAATAAGAAAGTTTGAGCTATTTTCTGTCATCTGGTATGGCATTACAGTATATGAGTTTTATTTACGCAGAAACCCTTCCATTATTTAATGTTCTTAAAACAATCTAAAAGAGTGGTTGAGTTGGTCACAACTCAACTAAAAAGTTAAAAGGAAACGAATAATTCCTTGTGAGTTTTTATTTGAACATGCATTGCATACATATCATATATCAATTCAACTGAAATTATTATCCATCAATATAAACTAATCTTTCGGAGCTTTAACGTTTTCTTTTCTTTCTTTCTCGAAACAAAATATTATCTCTTACAACAATAGATTTTAGAATCTTTTTATTAATGTCAAAATATATATACATAAAGACTGACCCTTACACAAAATTTTGATCTATCTATGGTATGATGCCAATATGAGGCATCACCAGTTCCATGCCATACTTGGATATTCATATCGTTTTGGAGAAAAACGTGGTTAGTACTAGTTAAAAGTCATAGGTAAAGATCAAAGCAGGGGGACAATGAAATGAGGTTGATGTATGGATAAGAGCATTTTAATATTGTTCTACAAAAAGAGAGCATCTTAATATTATCTCTTTCTTACTTAATTTTTAATCTTAAGCCTTTCTCTTCTCGATTGGCAGAGAATCACCCTCAGATGTCCTCACGTCTATCTCTCTTATTATCGATTAACTTTTGATATTTTTTGTACATCTTAATTTTTTTATTTTAGGAATTATATGTTTATTCATATTATTAATGAGAGAAAAAAGAGAAGATGTATTGGTTTGATTGGCTTAACTTTTCTCTTAACTATTATATTATGCTTCCACCAAGTCACCAACAATCTCATGTTCTAAACAATAAAAAACAAATCTTTGACAAAAAAAACAATAAAAACAAATCATTAAGGCATAACTTTCTTGGTATTCTCAAAAAATATAATAAATTTTATCTATTAATCATATGAACAACTTACTTTTTATGAATGATCTTAAGATTTTCAAATCAATTGATTGAAAGTTCAAATATATGTGATGACCAGATTAAACTATAGACCAAAACTAAAAAATAGTGTCCTTTTCATTTTTATAGCACACTATGGTATATCTATTCCTCTGTTGTCATCAAGTAAAGTATTGTTCTGAAGCTCAAAAAACCAATGTTTTTAAACCCGACCCGGACAGTGAACCGGACGACTTACCGAGTCACTGGGTTACTGGGTCGACCGCGGGTGAAACGCGGGTTAATAATAAAACTTTATTAATTATTATATAATAATTAATAATATATTAGCTATGAAAATAAAAATATATAAATTAAAGTTAAATATTTTCTAAATGTTTTTAGAACATAAAATGTATAAATATACAAAATATCAAAAATTAGTTTAGACTTTTTTGTTTATAACAAGTTAAAGGGAATGACATCTAAAACAAATCAAGATATAAAATTTATAAATATTTAAATGTCTAAAATATTAAATTAAACTTCAAATTCAAAATAAACCAAAAGTAAAACATCACTGTAATAAATTGTCAATAACAAAAATAAACTAACACCAAATCACATCAACTAAATTTAAATTTTAAATTTGAAATTTAGAATATAAAACAGAGTAAAAATATAATTTAAAGTTAAAAACTAAAAAAAAAAAGTAAAAGTTTATTTATTGGTTCAACCAGTGGTTTAATCGGTATCGGATTTTGGGTTTTAGTGGGTTTTTCCGGGTTTTTGCGGGTTTTTAAATTTTGGGTTTTTAACAAAATCCGAACCAGATTTATTCTGGGTCACCGGGTTTATCGGTTCAACCGCGGGTCCGGGTCGGGTTTCAAAACACTGCAAAAAACCAATTAATAATACACCAATACCAGAAGTTAGAATAAAGAAAACAATAATGGCCTTTGTGTACTAGGTCATATAATGGGAAAAGTTCTGAAGCTAGCACCGTTTTGGCCTTGTGGCATGTAGGATTATGGTGTGACAATCAAAAGTAAGATTATTTGATCTACACTAGTAGTATAACTAGGAAAAACTATATAAACTAGAATGTTATAGCTTGGGATGGATGAGAGTGCTAAGAGTCGGAAGTGCTGATGGTAGGAAACGAGGGTTTTGTTTCTACTCTATTTGAAAACCGCTAAATGCAGTGATTTCAATATTGATTTCGTATATATTTATGAATTAAAGTATTTTCTTATACTAAATGCATTTGAGAATGGTATAACTTTGGTCCAAACAAACTAACCAAGTTGAAAAAGACTAATTGATAAAGTCAGAAACGTAACTAACCTAACCAGGGTTTAAAAAAACAGGAAAGGAAATTATGACAAAATAATTTGTCAATAAAACAGTAGACATGATACAAGGAAATTGGAATCGCTACTTATATAACAAAGTTTACAACTGACAAAAGGTTAAGGTATAAGTCGAGTGATATATGGCGGTTGAAAGAACGTTAATCATAGAGAGGAAACCAAATCACAATTTGTTTTTCTATCAAATTGAAAATAGAGTCAATGAATACGTGGAACATGCTTTTTTTTCTGTACGAATGTTAAGATTTTATACTATATTTTGTCTAAAAGTAAGCATCTAGACATTATTAAGTATTATTTCTGTTTTTTCCTTTGTAGTCAATATGTTATACGTATCATATATCATATATTTGCATAAGTTATGAGCTTTTACTTGGGTAAACGCGAAGGGCCTAGATCGGTCCAGTGTCATACCTAAAGTGAAAGCTCTGCCTTGTGTCATATGCGTTTCACTTGCATACACAAGAAAGGAAAACAACAAATGTTTGTCACTGGAGTCTGTTGCATTTACCTTCCGAAATAGTTTGTTATAGTTTGACCCCTTGTTCTAAAAATCGCCCGAGTAGCTGATTAATCGTGATTTGTGTGGTTAGTGTAGCGAATTGGGTCACTTCAGTTGGGTTATACGTTGACCCGAGTATTGAACGTAGTCTACATAGAAATTAAAAATCGTCCACATAATTGAACAATGTGCTTGGCCCAAAATCATGATTTCTTCATTAAATTCGTATTTGGTCCAAATTAAATTTCATTATGTGTCCAGCAAAAGCCCAACACAATTAATAACATAGTCGACAAAACTTTTTTTACGATAGAAATAAATTTCAAATTTCTCTGAAACCCTGTAATTGTATGTTTCTAATAATTTGTTAAAAGAACACTAGATTGATGAGTATATATCATGTTTGTGTTCTAGTTTGAAGTCTTGATTCTGTTTTTAAGTTTTAATATATTTTCTACCAACTTTTTAGTCTTGATTCTTCTTGTTTTGTTCTACTATGATTTATCAGTATATAGAAACTCTAAGCATTCATTTTTGTAAGCATGCAATGTTGTTGTACGTACGAAAATATTACGGTCTTTGGATTGGCATTCTCAATAAAAAAATTACATTTAACTAGTTAGAATTTGTTAGTCTTGTTTTGGATTGTGAATAATTGATATATATTTACAAATCTATGCATTTGGTCATAATAATGTCTTTTTTTTGTAAACTTGTATTATAAAACATTTATAATTATAAAATATAACTAGATTTTGATCCGCGTTTTCAAAGCGCGGGATTATTTTCGAAACAAATCAAATTTATATGATATAAATTTGCATGTTTGAATATGTATTTACATTTAATGTGACATTTAAATATTACATATGAAGCATTATATTCAGTGTTATGAAATAAGATTTAGATCTGTTGTTAAACCGACAAAACCGATGAATTTATATGTAATCCGGTTTGATTTTTTTTTAAACTTATTATTTAGAAATTCTATAAAACCTCCAAAATTCCTGCTAAAACCTAAGACTCGGCTATTGGTTCAAAGTGCAGGAATATTTTTGAAACAAACCAAATCTATATGATGTAAATTTTATTTTTGATCATGTATCAACATTTACATGTTACACATAAAGCGTTATATTCAGTGTTCTGAAACATAATCTGGACTCGTAGTTAAACCAATAAAACTGATGACTTTATATGTAACCCGGTTTGATTTTAAGAAAAAAATGTTATAAAAATTCTGTAAACCCGCAAAAAAAATATGTATTAAGATTGATGGGCATTATTGCACGAATATTCAAAAGTATTTTGAAAAAGATTAGTCCATTAAGCAACCCATTAGATAGATATTATTTGTACAAATTATATAGTATTTTAGACGCAAAAATCAAAAGACCATATTACCATTAATGAAATTTGTTTTTGTTCATATCATTAAGAGTAGTTTTGAAAAACATAAAAAACTCATTAAAGAGAATGATCCCCTTTTAATGATATTGATATTATACATATAAATATACAAAAATTCATCCCCGCATATCTTTCGATTTTGCAAAAAATTGCTAGGCATGTATCTGCCGCACGCGTAGCGCGTAGCGAGAGAACAAGGTTTTTGATCCAAAATAATTTAATAGTGTTAGCCCTCACAGAAAATTAAGTCTTAAAGCTAGTGAGGCCCACATACTCCTTAGCACGGTCCAGTCAATTTTCACTGGACATTATATTTTAAAGCCCACAAGGCC